CCGGCAGTCAGGATGCAACTGTGTCGCAGCACACATTTTCAACGTTTAAAAAAAAAAAGACAATTGTCTTTACGAAGGTAGACAAATGTGTGGAAGCGGATTTAGGATTTAAGTAAGCATGGAAACACAAGCATAACATCTCAAAAGATAAGCTCTGCTTTTTCAATTTCTGCTTTTTTTTAGAATGCAACACAAAACTGCGCAATTTCCTTTTGCAATCTGTTTCAGATTTTCATCAAAGATGGCAAATAAGCATGTGTGAACATCTGCATGAAGGCTTGCAGCTTTGCGGGGCCGGAGCATATTTATACAACATGTAGAAGCTGCACAATTTCCTGTTTACGCTGTTTACCAGTAGACGGACTGTGTATACGAGTGTACAGGCTTGTCACAAAAATCAACAACAATCTAATCACAAATATAAATAAAAAAATCCATAACTATGTCTAAACTAGAGAAAGTGCCTTTCCTGCGAAAATGTAGTGTGAATGTTTATTGTTTATTGTTCAAGAACTCGCTAAAAAAATGCTGAAATTATCTAAAAACTGCTGAAATTATCTAAACACATGATGAAATTTAGCTGAAATGGAAGAACAAGCCTAAATTAGCAGAAGAAAGCAGAAAGAACACATTTGCTGAATTAGGTTTAAATAAAAAGAAATGAGCCACAAAAATTAGGAAATTACCGGTAGCTGAAAGCTACCGGTAAAAGCTGAAATTAACAAAAAATAGCTGTGAAGTAGATGAAAAGGCAGAAAGGAGCTTAAACTACCAGAAGGAAGTAGAATGAGCTGAAATTAGATAACAATTTTGGAATTAGATGAAAAAGCTAAATTTAGCACAAAACAGCTAAAAAGTACCTGAAATAGAATAAAAAAGCTTAAACTAGTAGAAAAAGCTGAAAGGAGCATAACAAGCTGAAAAGAGCAGAAATTACCACCAAAAACTTGAATTTATCTGAAAACAGTTGAACTTAGCTGAACAATGCTTAAAAATAGCTGATAAGATGGAACAGACTTAAATTAGCAGAAAAAAGCAGAAATAACCGGTTTGCTGAAAGAAGCAGAAAGGAACACAAAAAACTGGAAATTATCTGAATAAAGCTAAAATTAGCACACACAAAAAACAACAGCTGAAAAGTAGCTAAAAAAGCAGAAAGAAGCTGAAATTAAAGAAGGAAGTGGAGAGAGCACATTTTTGTGAATTCGGCTAAAAAAAGTTGAAATTAGTGCAAAAAAAGTGGAATTAGCTGAAAAAGCTTTAATTACCAAAAAAATGGCTAAATAGTAGCTGAAATGGTGGAAAAGCTGAAACTTGCATAAATAAACTGTAAGGAGTATAACAAGCTGAAATTAGTAAAAAGAAGTTAGAAGAAGCACAAAAATGTTGTAGTTAGTAGAAAGAAGCTGAAAGGAGCACAAACAGCTGAATAACACAGCTGAAATTAGCTGAAATTAGCTGGATTTTTTTTTTTTAATTTGCACAAGGAAGTTGAAAGAAGCTGAAGCAGAACAAAATATGAAAGGAGTAGTAAAAGGTTGTAAACAGATGGAAAGATTTGAAGGATGTAAAATGAGCTCAATTCATTTTCTGAGGAAAAAATGGAGGAAAAGGCTAAATATTTCAAAAAGCTAAAGTCGCACAATACCAAAAGTCACAGCAGGACTGTCCTGAAAGAGCTGAACGTTTTGATATAGGACTTGTTGAAATAGATTAAAAACTGCGGGATGAGAAACTCAGCAAAAAACGTATGGAAGAAAAATGGATCAACGTTTCATAAACATTCACACAATAAACAGCTGCATTCACTCACATTAAAAACAGCTGAGTAAAAAAAAAGAAAAAGCAGGGGTGCACATTTCACTGTTTTACACCCTTTTAATGAGTTGACTGACTAACATAATTTAAAACCAGCAGAACAACTGTTTAGGTAATGCACAATGTCCAGTGATTTAAAGAAAACGTTTGCAGAGTGCATATGCTCTACCATGGACATGCAGCCAATCAGCTCCCACATTGCAAATAATCTACTGGGAAACTAACTGCCTGTTCTGTTTGCACTGGGAAGTGAGAAGTTCTGAGTTCCAAGTATTAAAAAATAAAAAAATAAAAATCAGCAGGAACTTCAGTTCGGAAAGTCGGGAGATTCTTGACGAGTACAGATCTAAAATCCAATATGGCTACCTTGTGCCTGAAAAGCTGTGATAGCTGCAGTAACAACGTTTTATTTTTAGTCTGTGTATCAGTATCCAGTCACACAGACACTACTGTTCAGCTCTATTAGTGGATGTGTTCATGAAGGGTTTGAATGCAGAGAAATCCATTATTACCAGCTCGTATTGCTAATGCTCATTTGCCTGGTCACTAAGCACATCTGGTCCCAACAGCACAGCTGTCTGACTGGAACCCTGTCAATTCTCAGATCAGAGTTCTGACTTCTCAGGTTAATGGATCGCGGCATAAAAACAACCTCATTAACAAAATAGTTTGACCGCAAAGACAATTTACCTGCTGCTGTTGTTTATAAATCGTATATTGAGCCATCCCACAAAGTTGTAAGCTTTTGTTAACGACCACAGCTTCGCAGAACCCAAGGATGTGTGGACTGTAACTTAGCTGCATTTAATTGGAGCATTGCACATAAAATGTGTTGGACATTTTCCCGTTTTGAATCCTGCCTCAAGCTGGCCGCACAGATCGTCTGTCATCACTACTTCACACCTTGAAACCACAAAGCTGGCTTACCCTTTCATATGTTGACCATTACAGCACTGTTACTACCACAGGCGGCGCCTTTAAGGCAAGACAGCAGCAGGCTTACTTTAACACCCCCCCACCCCCACCCCAGTGCCACGTGCATCCTTGTAGAAATCACACCAAGATGGCAAGAAGGCGACTCAGGCGTAGCTTAAAGTGTTTTGAGAAAGAAGTTGAAGAGATGAACAGTTTGGTTCCTCCACAAATCTACTACCGTACTGTCATGTAGCAAAACAAATAGTATTCACAGAACTGTGTGAATGTTTATGAAGCGTTCACACTACTGCGATCCATTTTTCTTCTGCATGTTTGTCGGCGTGACTCTCATCCCGTAGTTTTCAAGCTGTTTCAACAAATCATGAATCAAAATGTTCAGCTCGTTCAGAAGGGTTCCATGACTTTTGGTATTGGTGCAACTTTAGCTTTTTGAAATGGCTTTTATGCCACTTGCTTTTCTCTTTGGAAATTAATTGAGCTCATTTTCCATCCTTCGTATCTTTAGATCTGTTTGAAACCTTTTACTGCTCCTTTTACTTTTTGTTCTGGTTCAGCTTCTTTATGTAATGTTTTTTTAAATCAGCTACTTTCAGTTTATTTCAGCTGTTTTTTCAGCTGTTTTGCGCACCTTCCTGCTTTATTCTGCTAACTACATGTTTGTGCTTCTGATAATTTCAGCTTGTTCCTTTCAGCTTATTTCTGCAAGTTTCAATTAATTCTGCTATTTCAGCTACTATTTAGCTGGTTGATACTAATTTGAGCTTTTTCAGCTAATTCCACATTTTTTGCACTAATTTAAACTTTTTTCCTGCCTAATTCAGCAAAAATGTGCTCTCTCCACTTCATTCTGGTGATTTAAGCTTCTTTCTGTTTTTCTTAGCTACTTTTCTGCTGTTTTTGGAAAATTTCTACCTTTTTCCACACCATTTCAACTGATTCTGCTTCTTTCAGCCTAAATGGGCATAGTTGTGCTCTCTCAACTTCCTTCTGGTTATTTAAGCTTTTATCTGCCATTTCAGATACTTTTCAGCTATTTCTTGCTAATTTCAGTTTTTTTTTGCTACTTTACTCATTTTGTGCTCATTTCTGCTGCTTATTTAAACCAAATTTAGTAAATATGAGTTTTTGCTGCTTTTTTCTGCTAATTTAGGCTTGTTCTTCAATTTCAGCTACATTTCAACGTGTTTTTAGCTAATTTCAGCTGTTTTTCAGCAAGTTCTTCAGCAATAAGCGTTCACAATGCATTTTTGCGAGAAAAGCAATTTCTCTAGTTGGTCTTGTAACTAATTATTTTGTTCATTCTGATTATTTTTAGTATGTATAAAATGTCAGGGAAGACAAAAACAATTAAAAGGTTTTCTAAAATGTGTAATAAAAGCTAAAACATCATTTTATCACTGCTGAATGATCCATAAATTGTTACTTCTGCTAAAATAAAATACAATCAAATCAAATAAAGACAAAGAGAAGGCAGTAAAATTAGACTGGCAACTTCAGAAATCTGCTCTCCCAGTGCCAGAAGCAAAACAGCCTAGGTGAGGATGGCAGTGTAATTAGATTCGATTGTGTTAAATTGACTGAATGTGAAAGCAACTCTGTATCCCCCTAATGACTGAATGGAGCCGGTGTTTTCAAGGTTTAAACAACGTAACTGCACAATCAGTTACCATAAATGGGTATAAAAGCTGAAGTAAACAGGTAACAAGTTTTGGAAAACAGCAGTGACCATGTTGCAACGGTGCAGTCCTGCTTTGACACATCACATTTTTTGAAACCAGCAATGCACTTCAAGTCAAATTTCTTTTTTCCAACAAAGATTTTCACAGAAACCTGAATTGACTGGGAGAACTAGTCAGTGTGCACACCACTACTTTGCTGACAAGTGTGCAGTTTCAATGAAAAAGCTTGTATTTGTGTTGCTGCTGTTCTTCCTGTGGTGCATACTACCTCTAGTGGGGCACTTTACAATCTGTCAAGTAGCAGCTGCTTGTTAAGGCTCAGTCTGCCTCCTGCTGGTAAATAAAAGTACTACATCAACATGATCCAGTGCGGCTGTTCCCAAAAACAAAAATAATCAGAACAAATCAGCTTTTCCAAACAAAGTAACTTACATAAAAGTTTAAGCTTCTGTTTTTTAACCATTTGTGGGATTTCAAGGACAATATTTAGCAGCTGCTAGCTCAAAATTAGACATGAGACGCCCACAAATTTATGTCAACATGTTTAAACCAGGTGTTCTGTGTGTGCTATAAGGAGACAATATAGTTGAAATTTGCCTGTACATGTCAAAGAGCAAAAAAGATCAGATAAACAGGACAGCACCTGAGTTCTAGTTAATTTAACTAAAAAATGATGAGGGTCACAAACCTGCTCTCTGAACTGCTCTTGAGACAGACAGTCAGTCATGTTGACACAGCCCAGCAGACATCCAGTGGGGTAGTCTTTAGGAAACTTTGGCTCTGCAGAGATGAAGGGAGAAGCCACAGATTTACAGTCATGTGAAACTATGAGGCATCACTAACACTTTACTTCAACCTCAGAACTAAACATGTTCAGCATTTATTAGAACAAGAGAAAAATGTTATTGTTTATTTGACATATGCAGGTTAAGACAAGGTCAAAGATGCAATGAAATGTTCAGGATGAGAAGAACCGATTCGACTCACTAAAAAAACAAGAAATACTAAAGCATGTATATAAGGGTAAAGATAAAGTACAAAAAGTGAAAAAGAAACAGAAGTATAATATTCAGAAGGTCCAAAAGAAATACAGAAAACAACAACATGGTAGAATATAATAGTGCAAGTAGGATGAATTAGTATAAATATGTATTTCAAGGTAGTAATATTAGCTTAAATGCACATGATATGCATATATAATGCACATAACTAACATAAACTACACAGGTTGTGTGACAGGTTATTGCACAGTTAGTGAGTGACACTGAGATTAACTGAATTATGATGGTAAGGTAGTGACATATATGATACAGCCACATACTGCAGCAGCAATAAACAAAGTAGTTGTCACAGATGTGGCTTGGTGCAATGTTATTGTCAGTAGGCCTCTCATGATAAACAATAAATTAATTAATTGCATGATAAATGAAAATTATCGAGCTCATATTCATTTATCGGCTTTATTGTGTCTTTGTGTCTCTCTCTTTCTACTGAAGACACTGGATGACAAAAGGTTCAACTCCGGTGCTCTTCACTGACCCCTCACTTTCTCTTTTTTCTCGTTTCTTTAAAATCCGTTTTAACGATCCAAAAACGCATTTTTGGATCGTTAAAAGCAGCTAAGCTAAAAAGCTAAGCTAAAAGGTCGACCTCAGGGAGAAAAAAAGCTCTGTCTTGTCAAAGCTCCTAAAATCATGACTGAAACCCGTGCTTTCGTATAAAAAGTTGTTTTTCTCTAAAAAAAAAAAAAAGAAGCTGAGAACTTGTTTACTGATTTTTTTTATTAAAAGTTTTGTGTGAAAAATGCTATGCTAAAGAGCTCAAACTACACCAAGCGTCCGCCAGTTTGAGAACCAAAAACAAAAGGAAAGAGAGACAGCTCATGTCACTTCAAGGGACCTCCCAATCAAATTTTCATAAAGAGACACGCTGCTCACTCCCTCACTATCCATCTTTCGGTTCAAACAGTCGTATACTGCCATCTAGTGGACAAAAAAGTACTACACACAAATAATAACCAACATTTCTTCTTAAATTTGACAATAATTACTAATTATTGTCAAATTTCAAACAATATTATCGTTTATCGCAATAATTTCTCAGACAATTAATCACCCAGCAAAATTTGTTATTGAGACAGGCCTAATTGTCGGTATTCAGTATTATTATTGAGAGTTCAGTAATCTGACAGCTTGTGGATAATAACTGTCTTTGAGTCTTTTTGCGCACGATGGCAGACTCCTGTATCATCTGCCTGAGGGTAGTAGATGGAAGAATCCTTGTACTGGGTGGGTGTGGTCCTTAATGATGCTGCGTACTTTACGCATACATCGGCTGTGGTGGATGTCCTGGATGGCGTGGAGACTGTTACCAGTGATGTCCTCTGCTGTTTGCACCACCCTCTGTAGAGCTTTCTGACTGTGACTGGTGCAGTTCTCGTACCACCCTGTGATGCAGCCTGTCAGCAGGCTCTCGGTGCACCTATAGAAGTTTGTGAGGATGCTGATGTTCGTACCAAACTTCTTTAGTACTCTTAGAAAGTAGAGTCTGTTTTAATCAAAGTCTTTTTATAGATTTTTTTGTTTTTTAGAACACACTCAAAGTAGAGTCTTTGTTGGTATATGTAAGCCCAACTTATTGCTTTTGAGACACATCAGAAGACAAAAACTCTTGTTTTTAACTATGTATTGTTTTTTTGAGTGCTTCTAATTTTCCAGACAGTTACAATCATCTGAAATTAATCTAGTGAAATAGATTGTCCAATAACTTCTATAGTGCTTACTTATGCTTAGTAAGAGACATCTGATGTGGCAGCAGTTTTTATGATGGCCAAGCCTAAGATAAAACTATTCATTAATTTATTACCTGTGTAAAGTACGATTACCTTTCTTGTAGATGTGTCGGTGCATGGCTTCCACCTCAGCAATCTCCTGAGGAGTGGGTTTCTTGGCTGCAGCAGCAATCCAAAGTCGGCCTCGGTGTGATGTGTACCACGTCCGTCCTTCCACCCTAAACACAAAATACATAACGTTACAACATGATAATTTTAGTGCCCTGAATGACAGAGAATTAAAACTAAGTTGGACCTGTGTTGATATTTTTTATTTGCTTTTTGTGCTTCTTACCTCTTGATGCCTTTGACCAGCAGTGAGGCCCACGGCTGATGCATGCTGAGGCACCAGCCTCCATCAGAGATCTCCTGCAGCTCTCTGTCCTGGAGCCGCAGCCGATGGCGTTCCTCTCCTCCTTTCTGCTCCACCAAACCTTTTCTCTCATCCTTGGGTCGCTTGTGGTGTTCACTGCTTCCAATATCCACCCACTAGAAAGTTTATTCACTGTCAGAATGTGTTGCATGTAGGGATGCACAATATTGGATTATTGGCCAATATCTGATATGCCAATATGTTAAAATTTATTTGACTCCGATACCAAATACCTATATTTTTTCCCCAAGACCTACTTACAGAGATACATAGCTTTCTCTGCTGTGGAATTAAAATACTCCATTATTCTGCATGGTCTTTGTCAATTTGGCCTGCTGCCAAATGCAGACGCCAAAAAGGGGGCTGAAAATGATGTTTACTGTCAAATTTATTCACAACATTTACTCTCTATAACACTTCTTAAAATGGTTAATTAGGTTTCGAAGTGTTGTAGAACTTCATTTTTGCTCCTCCTCGCATCAATGACGCTAAGCAGTCATTGCAAATAGCAGTTCTGCTATCAGATTCTGACACTTAAAAAACTACCACACCGCCAACATTTTTACTTTTTCCTCTCCCACTGTGATCAGATCAGGTTGGTGCGCGTGACATCATAACATTGTGCTGGCACTGCAGGCATACTTATTATTGGGTTGTCATACAAAAACAGCACCATAT